TTTTTAATGACTACCTTTTCATTTAATTTTAATGAAGACTTTTCTAGGGTTGAGGCAAGGTGTTTTCCTCTGTTGAGAAAGTGGACATTGTTAAGCATTAGCAGTTCATAATTCTTCCGCGCACGATGATGAATAACGTGTGGTTACTTTAACACTGTGCTTTGCGAGGCTGGCAAACTGAACCGGACCCAGAGTCTCTCGAATTCATGTAAATTCCACCAAAAGCAGTTATTTAAATTTTTGAACTCACTTTAATGTGCCTTCGACATCATTAATATAATCACAATCCTCACTTTCTTTGAGAGCAGTGAACCAACGAATTCTTTAAAACTGGGCTTTATCAAAAGAACTTCCACTTTAAAAGCCTTCCGAACCTGGAGGAGGCTGGCAGGACACAGTCAGAAGGTGACGATTTGAATTTCTGAACTACAGAGTTCACAGAGTGTTAGGAGCCTTTTTTCTGTTTCTTGTTTTGTGAAAGAATCTTTGCTCCAGCTCAGATTCATTTTTCTTCACATCAGCTGCAAGAGAGCGAACCCAACTTTGCTACAAATCAAAACCCTGACAGTTCTATTTCCCCGAGATAATTGCATACTGCTTTGGAGTTTCCTTTTCCCCTCTGTTTCCTTTTGTTTTGACAACAAGATACTGGGAAAACAATATACAATTGATAACTATGCTGTCATGAGTATACTGAATTTTAAAAATAAATAACTGTCGACCCCAAAAGCTTCCAGGAGCCTATGGAGTGAGTTCTTTTTCCAAACCGTTCCAAAACCAGATGTGGAAATGTTTAGCTAATTCCCCTCCCCAATCCCCATGCAAAGGGTTCATATGTGTCTCTAACGACATCAGAGGAGATGGGAAGGCAAAAAAAAACAAAACACAACAAAACAAAAAACCCGTCTGCTCTCACCAGGCACAAACAACACAAAACTAATTTGGTCTGCAGCTTTTGTCTCTTTCAAAAAGGGTCTTTTCTTCCCGAGATTAGAAATGCTCTGTGTTTATGCCAATCTCCAGTCTCTTTCTTGTAAGACATGAAGAAATAGAGTTCATGTTCCCAAAGTGAAACATTTCATGATTTTTTTGAAATGTAAAAGATGAATGAATGAATGAATGAATGCAAAAGATTTATTAAGAATTGGGCTTATTAGGGAGAGTTCTTGAAAAAAAGAAAGGCAAGGAGGAAAAGTCTGTCAAAGGAACTAATGGAAAATATATATTCATAGACCACATGTAGAGAAACAGAAAGCTACTGTGCTCTGTCGCTGCAGGGAAAGCAAACATTTTGCATCCAGGTGCCATTAGTAGCTCTGGGTCTGTGGGTCTCTATAGCTCAGTTCTGGAAGGCTTGGACCCACAGCGGAGCCCTGCTCGGCTGTATGAGTGCACCAAACTCATTGCTTCTGGAATGTCGCGCGGGGCTAATTTGCAATCAAGTCAAAATGGGGCTATGGTAATGCAAACCCTGAGACTTGCTTTCTAAATGCCCAACCTCCCCCTCTTCCTCCTCCTCCTCAAGAAGCTGGACAGTGGTCCCAAGGTGAGCACTCCCTTCTCTGCATTTATTTCTTCCTTGTCCTCAGCTCCCCTTAGCTCTGAAGATTTCGGGAGACTTTAAATAGGATTCTGTCCACAGCTCCAGGGATGCTACAGATACCTTCCATTTGGCACCCCCCCACCCCCCCCCCCCCCCCCCCACACCCCCTCCTCTTCTGGTGCCCCTTCCCATCGGTAGCCCCTCGGCCTTCTTCCTCCTCTTCCGCCACTGAGCAGAGCCCACCCTGTCCCTCGCCTGTCTGGTCCCATTCTGCCAGCACGCCTCAGCTAGAAGTTAGAAAAGCCAGCTGATGTGATGATTTTGCACTGTGTTGGGAATGGCTTGTCACCATCCACCACACACACACACACACACACACACCCTCTACCCTGGCCTGGGAATGTTGGGCAGCGGGAAAGGGGGGGCTGCTGCCCAGCGCTGATGACCTGTCCTCAGCAAAACAGAAGGACTCCCAAAGGGCAGCACCAAGCTGGGGTTAGCGAGCTCATTAGCAAGTGCATTCTGCTCTCCTCCTGGCCGCCCCCCCTCCGTCTTGAATGTGGGTCCCCCTGACTTCATTTTTAAGTTTTCTCTGAGCTCGAAGGTGTGCTGCCACACACAGAGGCATCTTCAGGGACTGCTTCCCCTTGCGTGGCCATCTGCTCCTGCCTGTGAAAAACCGGAGAACAGAGAGATGGTCCTGAGTTTGGAGATTTGTGCTAAACGCACCCCCAAACTCAGCGACGTTACTAAACCTCTATCTTCGAGACTGATTCAGTGCAGAGGGTGAGGCGGTCTCAAATGATTGCTTGCGGGACGGCTGTCTTGTTTCTCAGAGACTCCGGGCTTTTTATAACCCTGTTTGGATTATTCATGGAGGGCGGAGAGGGAAGATGCGGGAGAAAGGGGGGGCTCCCCCCCCCCCCCCCGCCCCGCACCGGAACCCGGCCTCAAACTTGGAGTCTCAGTTTAGGGTTGGGACAACCAAAATGGAAGAGAAGGATTGTTTCTTTGGCCTAGCCCAGGAACTCCTTCAAGGGGGAGGTTTTTGTTCAGGGCAAATAGGTCCTGGTTCTGAGATGACGGTAAGGGCAGGGAGAAGGGAGAGAGGGCAAGAAAGCCACTCCGAAAACACGCTCAGGGCAGGGTGGGCTCCGTGAGACCCGGACAGAGTGGATGGCGCGCTGGCGACGGAGCGATGACCTCAGCAAGCATCGGGCGCCGTTCCAGAGCAAGCGGTTTGTTTACGTAACTGTTGAGTCATTCTCCAAGACCAACCGGCATCAGAGTTGACTTGTGGTTTGTTGTTGTTGCTCTTTTATTTGGTGTGTTTTGTTTTTTCGGAGGGGCAAGAGGGTCCGTTTCTCTGTTTTGTTGCTGCTACTTCTGTTTCTGCTTGTGCAAGACAAAAAGGCAGTCCCAGGAGAGACACCGGAACAAACCAAGACGGAAGGAAGGAGCCCGGGAGACCCCTTAGACTTCCCTCTACACCCAGGGCCCCCGAGAGAGAATGAGGAGTCATTCAGGAGAGAGCTACGGAGGCGCGATCCGCACCCATCACAGCAAGTGCCTGACTTAGACACAAAGCCATTCGTGCAGGCCATTGCGCTCTTCTAGGGGGCCCCTTACACCAGGGGGCCCCTTACACCATGGTTTCCATCAAAGAATGCAGCAAGTTCATCAACATCAGAGCAAGGGAAAGAGCCGCGTTTTTGCGACTCCCCCTTTTGCGGGAAGGGGGAAGATAGAAATGTCTGGGATGCCTTGCATATAGTAGGCGCTCAATAATAAGAATCAAAGAATGGATTCGTATAGGCACGGGTGACTTAACTCATCAGGGAACAAAAGTAAAACCCCACACTTACGCATATCCATTTCCTTCGAAAGTTTGGGCGCGTTTCTTTTTGGTTTATGTCATTTTTGCTTTTTAAAAATGAAAGTGGACTCGGACAATATTTGATGATATCCCTCTTCCTTCCTTCTTGTGCCGCTTGTCGCCTCCTTCTGATACTGGGTTTTCGACGTATGTCCTTGCTTAGCCTGGCTCATTTTTCTCCCCATTTTGCTCTCCCCGCCACTCTTTAGGAGGTGAAAGGCAGTAGGACTAGGAAGTGGCCACAGAGCTTCCCACTGAAAAAGAAGAGACATAAAAAACAAAAACAAAAACAAAAACAAAAACCTAGCGAAAACAAAAGAAAACTATAAAGCAAAGCATAGGACTCAGTGAGGTGCAAACCATGGCCACAGAGAAGATGTTAGGAGCTACCTCGCCAACTAGTGTGCGAGGTACAACCCCACGACTCGCTTTCTTCGATCTGGCGCTCTTGAATTGTCTTCGTGTATAATACGAATGGGAAAATGTAAAAATAAAAAGCAGTACTTTTTGTTTCTGCAGTTTCACCATTTTACAAGGTGCCCCGATTGACATATCAGGGAATCTCTGGGTCTCTTACGATGTTACTGCAACAGTTTATGGAGTATCCATTTGCTTATTTTAAGTGAGTCTCTTGGGGAGATTTCAATATGTGGTTGTCAGGAATAAACCACATTTTCTTCTCTGGCTTTTATTTAATTATGTTTGTCGCTCACCAACACAAGACAATAGGGAGGGGTGCATTTATGGTATAAGAGAGGACCTGGGGGCCCTTAAGGAGAGTGGTGCCACCAGCTTGAATTAAACTGGATCTCCTGTCACCTTAGTTAATGTTTGCCATGAAAACAAGTTTCATTTTCTTTGTTGGGGCTGCACACAAAGGGATGCCTTTGCTGACCAGGGTCGACTCTCATTCGATATATGAAGGATATGCGTTTTATACTGAAACAGCACGGTAAAGCCACTGAGAGAAGACCCTGTGGTCATCTACCACCACGTGAGTTCCAGCAATGAAATTGAAATTCTGTTCTCTCTCACAAGAATGTTTTCCTTTTCTCTGTTTTCTTTGTTTTCAGTTTTATCGAGGTATAATTGACAAATAAAATTATAGGATATTGAGGGGCACCTGGGTGGCTCAGTGGGTTAAGCACCTGCCTTCGGTTCAGGTCATGATCTCAGGGTCCCAAGATCAAGTCCCGTATTGGGCGCCCCGCTCAGCGGAGAGCCTGCTTCTCCCTCTCCCTCTGCCCCTCCCCCCTGCTTGTGCTCTCTCTCTGACAAATAAATAAATAAAATCTTTTTAAAAAGTTATAGGATATTGAAAGTATACAACGTGATGGTTTGACATATGAACAGATTGTGAAAGAATTCGCCCAATCGAGTTAACATATCCGTCGCTTCACCTTTGTTCAGAGGACATTTTAAGGCCTACTTTCTTAACCTTTTGGAAATACTTCTTTTCTTTTCTTTTTTTTTTTAATGATTGTGTTTGAACTTTCAATAGGAAATAAGATGATGTGCCTTTTGTGTCTCTGTGTGTTCTAGAAATCCTCACCAGCCAGCTTCCAGTTTCCTGAGCGTCGCTGCCTGATCGGCCACAGGGATGAAAGTGTTCGAGTTGATAGGAGGGATGGTCATCCTCACCTCTGTGTTTTCGGCCTGTGCGGCACAAAGCCCAGTGACTGTGCTGTGCTCCATAGACTGGTTCATGGTCACCGTGCACCCCTTCATGTTGAATAACGACGTATACGTGCACTTCCATGAGTTACACTTGGGCCTGGGCTGCCCTGCCAACCACGTTCAGCCACACGCCTACCAGTTCACCTACCGCGTTACAGAATGTGGCATCCGGGCCAAGGCTGTGTCTCTGGACATGGTCATGTACAGCACAGAGCTGCACTATGCTTCCAAGGGGACCTCTTCGAAGTACACGATCCCAGTGTCCTGCACTGCTCCCCAACAGTCCCCATGGCTTGCTCCGCCCTGCTCCGTGAGAGTAGCTGGTGGGACAGGCACCGCCACTCAGCTCGGCAGGGCAAGCTATGACGTGTTCACCTTGTCGCAGTCCAGCCAAAGGCCTGACTGCGACTGTCCGCCTTGTGTCTTCGGCGAAGAGGAGTGTACCCAGGCCCCCCGGCACCAAGCGGAGGCTCAGGAGGGCCAGCTGGTGCGGCCGTCTGCCTCTGTGGATGTTTCTGAAGACTGGTCTCTTTGCTTGGATGATTTCATTGAGTCCATGTGATCCCCGGCTTTGGGGTCTCCTGTAGATGCTTTTTCTAACATGAGTATGTAATATTTTCTAATCTCAGACAAGTAAGTGGTTTTGGTAGCCCCTTTATGAGTGCCTTTGAGAGAGGGCAGCTCGTGGTATTTTCATGAATAAAGCTTTTCTATATTTTTATATCTTTTTTTAAAAATAAAATTTTGATGGCTTAAAACTATCAGTTCAGCGTTTTTATTTAATAAACACACACACACACACACACACACACACACACACACACACACACACA